GATAGATAGATAGATAGATAGATAGATAGATAGATAGATAGATAGATGAGACAGAGAGAAATGAGAGAGAGATGTGTGAAAGAGATGAGAGGTGTGTGTGTGAGAGAGAGACAGAGACAGACAGAGACAGAGACACAGAGACAGAGACAGAGATAATTGACTGAAATTACATGATGTGTGGTTCCTCCATTAACAGTGGTGTCTTGTAACATTATACAATAGCTACACTACCTGGTTCTCCACGACCTCCTTTAGCTCCTGCCAGACCTACACCAATACGAAGAAAACCTTTACCACCCAACAATATAACTGGTAAACCTGGCCGTTCAGGTATGTCATCCTTCTAGGGTTTTTTTTCTTATGTTTATTCTCATATTGCACACAGTTCTCTTTATCAAGGGGTACTTATATTCAGTATAACTAGAAAACAAGTGTGGCCGTGTAGCAAAATGGACAGCAAACAAATAAATAATAAAGTAAGCCTTTTGTTTATTAAATACAATTGATAGTCATGTGATCAGTCATCCAAACATTCATTTGAACCTTTTGCAAAGATATTATAGTGCTTCCAGGCAAAGTATTTATTAATCCTTTGTTATTCATGGGATTGATAAGCAGAGAAGAAACATTACCTGCCCTGTGTAATTCTTCTGTGTCCCCCCCCTTCCCACATATATACTTTTTACCAATATTCTTTTGCCCACAGAATATGCATATCCACTTGTAAGTCGTTATTCAAATAGTGTACTATGCAGGAGTTGATATTTGATATTTGATATGAGAAATATTGTGGGTCTACCCACAACAAACTTGTATTGGAGGGACAAACAAGAACCCAGTGAGAGATTTTACAGAAATATTTACTATTACACAATTCTTCAGAATGGGGATATGAAAATACAAATTCAAGCTTGCCATAAGAAAGAACATTCCAACCTGCGGGCAAACAATAGCAATACAGAATTGTATTGTACATTGTAAAGTGAATTTTGGCCAATTTTTCAGTTTTTTTTTTTTTTACAATCGGAATAAATATATTTTGTATAGATAAAGTGGATTAAGCTTACTTGTTTAACCTGTTAATTGCATACGATGCCATATGCTAATTAATAGAAAATAAACTACAAACTGTATAGATATGGAGTACTAGAAACATCTTAAATACATTTATACATTGACCACTTATATTCAAGAATTTATATTTGGGTGAAAATTCATATCTGTCTCTCTTTGTGTAAAATTACTCAAAGAGAACATTTTTATTAATCCCTTTGATTAATGAATGTCTTTTACCATTATGACATGTTTACTTTACAATCAAGCTGTGTAAATTCAAATTGATTCAAATTCTTTTTATTTCCCTATAGGAAATGTCTCAATACCACAAGCATCAACATCTATAGCAAAACCCACTTGGCCAAGTTCCCTTGTGAAACCAAATTCACCTAAAAAGCTACCAACAGCAGCAGCTTCTCCAGATTACGGTAAGTATGGAATAGCACAGTTCCAAGTTCCATGTTTTTATTAATCTCAGTCTTGTAGCTTAACACCTAAATTAATAGCAATTCCAATAGTTACGATACCAATCCAGTGCACATTTTTCTTACATTGCTCTATTAAATACCATGCCTTACTTCTGCAAGCCTTAGAGAGTCCTAACAGGTTGACTGCAGGAAAGTTGGGACTGAGATAGGTTTGATGTTGCAGTTACAACCATTTGCATTTGCTCCTGTAATAACAATAGCAATAGCACTTAGACATATACCACTTTGCAGTGCTTTGCAGTTCTCTCTAAGTGCTTTACAGACTCAGCATATTGCATAATATTTGATCCTGCGATATGCCTAAGAAAGATAAACATGACATCCAAGACAAACAAACAAACTATGAAAATAGGCATTAAATGTGATTCAATTTCATAAACCTAAAATAGTTTTAACATACTCATGCTAAAAGAATTTGAATGGTTCATTCTGAATGGTACCCCTTATTGTTTCAATCAGCTCCAGAAGCATTATAAAATTCCATGCTAATTCTCACTTATTTCAAAAGGACCTGTATATTGAACAATGGTGGGATTCAATTTTTTTTTAATACTGGTTCTGTGGATGTGGCATGGTGGGTGTGGCAGGGGAAGGATACTGTAAAATCTTCAGTCAGAGGTGGTATTTGCTGGTTCTCTGAACTACTCAAAACTTCCGCTACCGGTTCTCCAGAACTGGTCAGAACCTGCTGAATACCACCTCTGGTATTGAACCAGTCACTTAAGATTATATTGATCAATATATTTAATTTACATTAATTTTACTTGACATTCTTTTCTGCTAGAAGAATATTGGTTTATATGTTTCCCTAGCTATTAAGATAAACAGCATGATTTAAAATAAAGGATTAAATTAGCTTAATTTCAGCATTTTTAAGTGTTGCCCTCTCTACAGAGGTAATAAAACAAATAGATTATTGAAATAACTCTCCACAAAAATGTTCAGAAAAAACAACCCCCCTTTTTTTTAAATTGTAAAGAGTTATAGCATCATAAAGTTACTAATTTGGGAAGCAATGGGTTGAAACGAAACCCTTGCAAGACTGAGTGGTTCTACGTTTGGGATTCATTGGCTCATGGAGAATTGGCACCTTTGGTCTTAGATGAGGTAGTACTACCCCAAACAGACAGCATTCATAATCTAGTGGTTTTCCTGGATTCATGACTTTTCCTGGACTTGAAGAGCAGGTGGCAGTCATGGCCAGGAAGACATTTGTGCAACTGCGGGTTGTGCACCAGTTACGCTCTTTCCTAGACCAACAGTCCCCCTCAGTCACTCATGCCTAATCACTTCCTGTCTTGACTATTACAACGCGCTCTACATGGAGCTGCCTTTGAAGAACATCCAGAAGCTCCAGTTGGTGCAAAATGCAGTTGTCCACATGGTTTTGTGCACACCCCAGTGTGCACATGCATCACCTCTCCTGCAGGAGCTGCATTGGTTGCTGATTTGCTTCTGGGTGCAATTCAAAAGTTATCATCTTTAAAGCCCTTCATGGCTTGGGACCAGGTTATCTTAGGGACTGTCTCTTGCCAGTCACATCTACCTGACCTATCAGAGCAGGGAGGCAGGGAATGTTGTCAGTCCCATCCCCAAGGGAGATATATCTGGTGGGACCCAGAAGAAGGGCCTTCTCCATGGTGACTCCCTCTCTCTGGAACATCATTCCCCCAGAGATTAGAATGGCCCCCACTCTAATACTCTTCTGGAAGGTGCTGAAGACCTAGTTCTGCCAGCGGGCCTGGGGAACCCAGAGCAGGATGGAGCCCATTAAATGGCTCATGTGATCTGCTATCATTGGGGCGGGGTGGGTGGGAGTTGGGAAATGATTCTGTTATATTGTACTATATTAATTTATTTGATTCTTTTTGTTAGTTTTTATTGTTTTAAATGTGGTTTTATATTCTGTAAGTGGCCTTGAGTTGCCATGGGCAAATAGGCGGCAATATAAATTCAATAAATAAATAAATAAAATTTACTAATTTGATTTCTTGGATTAAGATGATCAAAGTTTCAACAATTCAAAGCAACTTTATTATTTTACAATGCTACATTTCCTAAGAAAATGTTAACATGATTCCAAGCATGATCTAAGAAGAGGTTTTTAAATAAGGTATGATTAAAATGAGAGCTTTTGAACAAAAAATGTTTTTACAAGGTAGAAAATCAGGGTTTCCATTAATGTTTGCTATTGTTGTTTGCTTAGGCAATCCAATGTTCAGTTCTATTCCTACAACTGAGACTGATATTACAGGCACACCAAGGTATACAGGTATGTTTAAAATATCTCATAAGAAAAAAAAACTGCTAAGCAATATATGCTCTTTTTATCTTTCACTTTCTTAAAATAAATTCTTTTTAATAATATTGTGTTATTTTATAAGTAGACCTCAGAGGGCAGAAAAGATTCTAATCCTCCTTTATTAAGAAGCTTATAATGAAAATGTTTTGTGGGAAGCATTTTTCTATGTGAACAATTACTGAAGTAATATATCACCATCTAAAGTAATTTATTTTTGCTTTATCATCTCTTTTGTACTCAGTGCACATGTTGATCTTATCTTTTCAGGTGACCATGTGAAATACCTGAAAAAAAAAGATGATGTACCTTGTTCCATCACAGATACTATGCAACTCTTTCCAACTGATATGGGGGACAACAGAGACATGGCTACTAGTGCCCCCCAAAAACCTCCTACGAACCTCACTGTAGTGACTGTTGAGGGATGTCCATCTTTTGTGGTACTGGATTGGAAACCACCTGAAAATGAAAGTGTAACAGGTTAGAAAGATTTTTGTCTTGTCCAGGCATTGTGTAAACATACACACTTCTTCAAAACTGTTTTGAAAAGTTGGGGACTGATTAGTGTTCTTCAGCCTATTTTATTAAAAGTAATTTTTATAGATCTCTGATCTCTATTCTAACTAAAATTTATACCCTAATTAATTAATAGATGATCTTTAGATGGTGTTATGACCCAGGTCACCTAGTCAGAGGTAGGCATCGATAGAGTCCTTTATTCCTCTGATTAAATGTCACAACAAACGCCCATAGAATGGCCAGTACAGCTCCACTCTACACTACCCAGAAGCCAGCCACCCTCAGTTCCCCAAACAAAAGTCAGTAAAGAACAAAGAAAGTCCAAAGAGAAGGTACAAGCCCACAGGGCGAGGCCCAGAGTCAAGGTACAATGAGCAAGGCCAGTCCACAGGGTAAGGCCAGTCCAAAAGACCAAAGGTAAATCCACAAGGCAAAGGCAAGGCATAGGCAGGAGCATGAGTTAAACAATTGTTCCTGATAAAGATAAATTCCGCTTGGCTTCTCCTTAAGTCAATCCATGCCAGGTGTTCCTTGTGAGGAGGGACAAGGTGACCTTCTCAAAGTAGCCTGACAGCCCTCCTTTGAGCTTGCCTCCACTCTACTCTCTGTTGCGGTCCACTGGCAGCCTGCGGAGATGGCAGCAGAGTCGGACAGTGGGGAGGAACGGGACTCTGGGGAGGACTCGGATGAGGGTCCTGCATCCAATACAAAGATGCATTCTCTTCATGACAACCAGTATTTGGAGCACATGTGGGTGATCTCCTGTTTCCTCTTGTCCTGAGATGTTCTGAAGAGCCACTCGAATCACTGGTTGTTGTTTTTCCCTACAGTTCTTGGCTCCACTTTCATGGAGATATCTTCAGTCCACCATTCCTCCTCCAAAAGTTCTGGTTGAAAATATTACGAATTATGTCCTTTTTGATTATAATTAAACCAATATCATAGGCTAAGAAAGTTGAGGCAGTCTGTTTTGATCACTTATTTCTGTATTGATTTCTACCTTAGCAATTTTTTAAAAAATATGACACATTAAATAAGGCTATGCTGGTTGGAGAATTCTGGGAGTTGAAGTCTACAAGTCTTAAAGTTGCCAAGTTTGGAATCCTCTAGTCTCTATTAACTATACAACTAAAGGGATTTTTTATTGAACTCCTGATAAAATCTTCTAATTAAAAAAAAACTACTTTGAACTATATTTTGTTTACAGTAGGAGGAGGAAGGAACAAAATAGACAACAGATAAAGATGTTTTACAAAGTGAAATGATGTATGGAATTGAATGTGATCTTCTTATTTTCAGAATATAAAGTTGTATCAACAGAAAATGGAGGCACAGTTGGAAAAGATAAGTCCATTATAACCACAAATCAAACCCATTCTACAGTGGAAAACCTGAAACCTAATACAAGGTGATGTTCTTATAATAATGAATTTAAATTTACATTTATTTATACACTGCAAAAACCTCTATATTATTCCATTCAGTCAGTTTTGGGAATGTGCATAAATTTACCATACTAAAGATAATGTATCAAAATGTAACTAACTTCAGTAATAATAGCAGGTAAGATTGTGCCAGGTAAAAGATATTAGGCTTCAAATATGTTGCAAAAGAGCAGTTTTCCTATATTACTAAAGTAAAGGTACCATCTGTAGTTGGGGAAGAAAAGCATTTCTAACCAGGCATGGAAGCCACATAAAATGGCTGCTTCCTTGTTCCTGCCACTCCAATATCATGACATGGGGATCTACAGTATCTCTTCCATCTTGTTCATATGGATTAGGCTGAATCCACTCAGAAAGGACAGTCCAGAAAATGTCCTGGACCCAAGATCAAAAGCAGCCTTTTGAATGAAACTGGTAAATATGTGCATGGCCAACCAGCAGTGCAATATGATGTAACACTACTGAATTTAGACAAGCAAATGGGTTGTTGCATTCAGTAATAACTGAACTTCTGAGTAATCTTCATAACAATAATCCATTATGGAGATGATGAGGGCAAAAGTTACTATTCACATGTTTAAAATACAACTTACTAAATAAGAAAGTCTGAATGAACTGACAAAGATTATGGTAGTATCTGATCCTGTTGCGCTAGCCTGTGTGTCCAGAGTTTAAGGATATTGATCAATTAGCCTACATCATATAACAAAAATTCAAGACAAAACAATGGAAGGCAACTCTGGAGAAGACTCATTTGAGAGACCCCCAAACCTAATCTTCTTTCTTTAGTTGTCTGTTGAAATATCCTTTCTTTTTGAGGAGCCATCCTGTTCATATGAACATAATATGAACATAAGTGGAGTTACTCATACATAACACACATAATCATTTCAGATAGAGGAAGAGAGAAAGAAAACATTACAGTAAAAATAGGACTTTATCTTAACTTTTTATTAATTTATGCTACAAGTTAATGAAGGATGCATAATGGTCTATAGCTAGAATAGGACATAATTTCTTGGCATCAAAACCCTGCACTTAGAGCAACTTCTTGCTAAAATTAGTTAATTAGTTAACTTTATTGACATTGCACCTCCTACAATGAAGTCAAACATCATCTTCAGTGCACATCATGACCATGAAAATAAACACAAATACACATCCTTCACATTCCACACATTGAACCGAAAACCCCCAATATCGCACCAACACTACACTATACAGTAGAATTCAAAAGAGCTACTGCCCTGGGATAGAAGCTGTTTTTCAGCCTATTTGTCATTATTTTTATTATTCTGTACCGTCTGTCAGATGGTAATAGTTCAAAAAAAGGGTTCCCAGGATGAGATGGATCTTTGAGAATGTTTGAACTTTCTTAAGGCAGTGGGAGCTATAAAGCTCTTCCAAAGGAGGGAGAGGGAAACCAATGATCTTCTGGGCAATGATGTTAACCCTCTGGAGTGCTTTGCTACCTGCCACTGTGCAATTGGCAAACCATATAGAGGTGCAGTAAGTTAAGATACTCTATGGTGCAGCGGTAGAAGGTCACCAGCAGTTTTTCATTCAGTTGTTTTCTGAGAAGTCTCAGGTAGTATAATCTCTGCTGGACCCTTGTGATGCAATGTGAGCACCCCAGGTCAGGCCCTCTTTTATGGTAACACCCAGAAACTTAAAACTGGACACTTGCTCCACTCGGTCTCCATTGATAAGCAAGGATGTCTGATCTGTTTTTTTCTATAGTCCACTATACTTCCTAATTACCATCATTCAATATTATATGATGGTAACTGATGTTGACTCACTTTTCTCCTACTGCTCAGGAAGGGCAGCTAAAAAGGGCACCCTCCTTTACTTGGACCAATTCTCTTTGAAGGGGCTGATAGCTTCTCTTTTTCCTCTGTTGATAGAACTTTTTTCAGAAAGGCCATGTCTAGAATAGCTCTGTTGAAATAATGAAGTAACCTAAATAATGTGGAAAAATATTAACGAATGGTTCCAGCTAGTGAATTATTATGCTTGCTGCTAGGCCTGGAATCCATGGTAGCATAATATGTCAATGATAATGATTCCCTATATTATATGAATGGAATTATGTCTGAACATTCAGCCATATTGTCCAGTGTGGATTATTCTGCAAAGGGTTCATTTCAACAAAGACTCAAGAATGTTTATGCATACATGTTGGATTGCAGCCAATGTATAAAACTAGTCAGGGGTAATTGGTGGTGCATGACATTTATTGTTAATATAACTATTATTTTAAATTGGCCAACCATATCTTAGTTTTTGTGAAGATTTTACGTATTGTTTGTTAATTGCTTCACATTCCCAGATGAAAGCAACTGATGAAAGACTAAGTCACTCAAGTATAAAAATCCACAACATGTAATATTGTTTTTGAATGTTTGTCAAGACAAACCTGACTAATTCCAACAGTATTTAATAATCTGAAGAAAACTGAGTAACCAAATTATGGGCAAAATATTTTGTATTTTCTAGGTTCTTCACTTTAAGAAAGTGAAGTTGTATTTTTTTCTTACTTTGCAGTACTGAAAACATTATTTCTGGTAGCTTTCCCAATGTGAAAGCCAAAATTACTCCTCACCCAAAGGGAAAAAAAGAAACAGAGCAGTGATACAAATTGATTTTTGGTTTCTGTTGCCATGAGAGATGGAACACCTGCATCAGGACAGTGTCTTTAAGAAGTTTATGGAATTTTCCAGCAAACCAGATGTCCAAAAACCAAAACCAAACTAAAAACCCTACTCCAAACCCCAAATTATACAGCAATAAACTGCTAGAGATTTAAAGAAGTAACATACAAAATAAGCATCCATAAACTTTAACATTTAAAATATGGGTGTACAACACTTAATTACAATGCCTATTGACAATTGATAGGGCTAATCAGGGAATAGGAAACTGGAAAAAAAGCATTTGGTGATCTTAGATATCCAAAGTCAGAACTTTTGAACTTATGTTTTACAGCAGCCAGCTTTACAGTTGATGATATTCTATCAGTGTTTTAGTTGTCCAGTCTAAGAAAATAAATGTCCTTAACTATCATCAGTATCAAACTTAGGTATATAATTACTCTTATGATGCATATTCCTAAATTACTCCATTTCCTTTTGCATTTATCTCTAAAGAACCTGTCACTTATCTTTTTGACTCATAATTATGTGCATTTTCCTACATCCGTATATGAAAAGATGTACCTAAACAGATAAACTTCAGATTTTATGACCAGTTGCTTTTGTGGTGTGAAGACAGTAACTTGGTCCTCCTGCACACACTCATAGAGGCAGGCATGCATTTTGATCATTTAATTTGAGAGAGAGGAAGGGAAGGAGAGGGAGAGGGGGGGAGAGGGAGAGGAAGAGTGACACAGAGAAAGTTTATATATCCACCAGGCTAGAAGCCAAGAGACCATGAGTTCTAGTTCCGCCTTAGTCATGAAAGCCAACTGGGTGTCCAGTCATCTCTCTCAATCCAACTCAACTCACAGGATTGTAGTAGGGAAAATAAGAAGAAGGTGTATCAGATATATTGGTTGCCTTAGATATTTGTGAAATGTAAATGTAAACATAATAAAGGTAGGATACAAATAAATACATAAATATATATTTCCCTTTATTTTTATATGTTGTGCATGTATGTACACATACACACAAACACACACACACAGGGCAGATTTTTCTTAAACCAGTTGAGAGTTAAACCACAGCTGCACAAGATGGAGCAGGATTAAGGACTGTTTAATTGATTATGTACTATGAAGTCAGCATTAACTCCTTGTGACCACATAGATTTTCTCCATGAATATTTGTCTCTAACTTGGTCCTTCAGAATTTCCAAGGTGCACCCATTGCCACTGTAATGGTATGCAGTCCATTTGCTCCTGGTTGTCCTTTCCTTCTCTTTCCTTCCACTGTCACAATATTATGGTCTTCTTCAGAGAGCTAGGTCTTTGCATCCATTTGTTCAGTGACTATTCAAAGCTACAATGGCACTGAAGAAATTGACTATGACCAGTCATCAAACTTCAGCCCATCAAGTACCCTCAGGGCATGTAATAAACATTTGGGCCAGCATTTATGGTTGCTCTCTCCCGCTGCTACCCCAGCTGTCTTTTGTTCTTTGCCTAGGAAAAGGCAGAAGTCCCAAGAAACCAGGCAGACACCAAGAAGTAATGTGGACAAATACTAGGGAGCATGGGATTTAAGGCAACACAGACCTTGCTGTGGTATGGGACTAGCTGGTTCTTGCAGCTGGGCAATGTGCTGAGACTTGGAAGTCCCCCTGGCACTGGACCTGAAGTAGAATAGAAGCCTCAGGGCAATGGTCGTGGGCTAAGACTTCAGTCACCATGCCATGACAAATCCCACAGTTCCTAGTGCCTACCTGCAATACCTGCCACACAGTGCTTAAGTCTTAGGACCTAAGGACATGGGACTCCTGCCTTTTCCCACATCACTTTCATGTGAGGTCCTTGCTTTTTATATTAACTTATTTGGTCCTGGATTAGTACAACAATTGGGACTGCTGATATCAGCCACAATGCAATGCAGTCACATGATATAACACTTTAGAACTGCATCATTTAGCTATGGTAATCCTGATCTCAGTGCCAACATAACTTGAGGACTATTTGTGACTGAAACAATAGCAATAGCACTTAGACTTATATACCACTTCACAGTATTTTACAGCCCTTTCTAAGCAGTTTACAGAGTCAACATATTGCCTCCACACTCTGTGACCTCATTTTACCAACCTTGGAAGCAGTGGTGGGATTCAAATTTCTTTACTACCAGTTCTGTGGGTGTGGCTTGGTGGGCATGGCAAGTGAAGGATACTGGTGTAAAATCTCGAGTCAGAGGTGGTATTTGCCGGTTCTCTGAACTACTCAAAATTTCCGCTACCGGTTCTCCAGAACTGATCAGAATCTGCTGACCACTACCTCTGTTCGGAAGGATGGAAGGCTGAGTCAACCTTGAGCCGGTGAGAATTGAACTGCTGGCAGTCAGCAGAATTAGCCTGCCATACTGCATTCTAACTACTATGTCACCACAGCCCTAGCATGGCAGTATGAGCCTGTTAAATTGGGATTTCACTGAGAAATTTAAGGATACAGTAAATTCCACCTTGAACCTGAAAATTAGATGGAAAATTTGGAATGAAAAACTGGTTTACTTTGGGCCAGTCACTCTCTCTCATCCCAACTCAACTCACAGTGTATTGTGGGGAAAAGGGAGGAAGAAGGGATATTAGGTATATTTGCCACCTTGAGTTATTTATAAAAAATAATAAAAGAAGGATAAAAAAATCTTTTAAAATTGTTTTAAGGATAAAAATTATCCATTTTAACAGTTGTTTGTCTATCAGTTATCCAGACAAAATGCTGCTTAGGGTATTGTCATTTCCTTAAATATGTTTGAAACCAATGTATGTTGCTAAATTTTTAAAAATTGGCAAACCATATTGATATTTTAAATATTAAAGTTACCTTAATTATATATGCCAAATACATGTTTCCTATTTATTTCATACCACATTGTAAATTATAAATGAACTTTGTTATACCTTTTTTCTTTATAGTTATGAATTTGTTGTGATACCTACCAACCCTCTTGGGGACGGTCCAACTAGTGAATCAAAAACATTCAGAACTGAATCAGGTAAGAATTTCAATAACTGCATCAATTAGATATAGCCCTCCTTTAATTCTTTATAATTTTATAGAGGAAAACAAATAGAAAATTATAATTCTGCTTAGATCAAAGAGTTATAGCGTTTCAACAAACTTAAAAATTATACTTGTTTTAAATTGGAATTCAGAATGAACAATTAACATTTCATTTATTAATGCAAACCAATATTGGGTTGATGTAAAATTTCTTTTAAAAAATAAAAACATGTTTAAAAATTCCACGAAGTGTTTATATTATGACCATTTTAATCTCATTTTGGATAAATAAGAAGTATTAAATACTTTTAAACATATTTTTCAATAGTTTGAACACAACTATTTGTTGTTCAAACAGATTTGTTTCTAATGTCAAACAACTTTCTAATTCTAAAAGTGCATGCTAATAACATTTTTTTAAAGTTTATTTTATAATTTCTTTACTATATGTGTAAAACTTTAGGTAGAAAGTATGTTTATTTCTTGAATCCTGATCTTTGTGCTTGTTCTTCTCTTTCTGTCTGCTTCTGTCCTTCTCTTTCTTTGCAGCTGACCCAAGAATAACAGAATCTATTTCAAGTAAGTTTTCTTTACAAGTAGCATGCTTATTAGAGAGACGGCATAGTGCGTACATAGCAGAAACGGTTTACAAGAGAAAAGCATTTTGCCTATCTTTTACAATCTGTGTCTTTGGAAATATGGTGGGCAGCAATTGGAGAACATTTCTCTTAAGAAAACAAAATAATAATAGTATTGCATTGCATTGCATTGCATTGCATTGCATTGCATTGCATTGCATTGCATTGCATCGCATCGCATCGCATCGCATAACATAGGTTTATTTGGCCAAGTGTGATTAGACACCCAAAAAATTTGTTTTCAGTGCAGAAGCTCTCAATATATATGCAAAGCAACAATGTAATAATAAACATAATATGATCCAATAAGAGGAGGTAGTAGAGAAGATGAGAAGGATAATAATACTAATACTACAGGGTACATATACTTTATAAAACAATTCCGTGATTAGGTGTTCAGCAGAGTGATGAGGGAAAAAAACTGTCCGTGTGTCTAGATGTTTTGGCATGAAATGCCCTATAGTAGCATCCTGAAAAGTTTATTTATTTATTTATTTATTTGTTTGTTTATTGATTGATTTGATTTGATTTGATTTGATTTGTCAATTACTTACAAGATACAGGTATAAGAATAAACATAGTTTTGAATACATGAGATAGATACTTATAGGAAAAATAAAAAGAAACAATAGGACAGAGGCACAATTGGTGCGCTTATGCACGCCCCCTACAGGCCTCTTAGGAAGGGGGTGAGGTCATAGTTGAAACAGTTTATGTCCAGGATGTGAGGGTCTGTCTGCAGATGTTTCCTCAATTCTTCAATGGAAGGCAGGCTGATTGCAATTGTTTTTTCTGCAGTTCCAATTATCCATTGGCGATTGTATTCTTCCTATTTAGTTACTGTACCAAACCAGATAGTTATCCAAGTACAGATGACAGTAATTCCTCTGCAGAACTGTATTAATGGCTATTGGGACAATGTCAACTTCCTAAATTGATGCAGGAAAAACATTCTTGGTTGTGCTTTATTAATGAGGGCTCTAATGTCAGGTATCATTTCAAATCCTCAGAGATTATAAAACCCACAAACTGCTGCTGTGCTATCAAATATAGTAAAAGTAAATTAAGCAATATTATTCTCATATATATTTATTTATCTTCAGTTCTCTCCCCAGATGTCAGACAATATTATTTTATTTGTTCATTTATTGAATTTGGAATCAGCCTTTTTGACAAAGAATAGTGTGAAGGGAAGTTAGCAATAAATATATATAAAATCATATGATTTAACAATTACATGAATAAAAATAAAATAAGAAAGAAATAATATGAGAATTCACAATAATATTTTGTCTTGGTATTACTTTTTTCCTATTTTAGTAATTTCCTTGTTATTTGTTATTTCTGCACTTAGTTACATTTTGTATTTACATTTTATACTTACATTTTGTATTTACTTCCACTTACTACAGTATGTATTTTATTTTCACTTATGATAAGAAAGGGTAAATATAATAATGCTAATATTCTTATGCATTGCTTTTTTACTTATATGCTCTGTTTATGTCAGATGTCTATTTTGGCATATATTATAACAAGAATCTCATATTGTCTTGCAGTGGGGAAAGATGCAATTTGGACTGAAGTCAGATTTAATTCTGATGACTATTCTGAATGTAAGGGAAAACAGTATGTCAAGAGGACTTGGTACAAGAAGTTTGTGGGTGTTCAGTTGTGTAACTCCCTTCGATATAAAATTTACCTCAGTGACTCACTTAAAGGTATAAAATCAAAACTCTCTTAATTGATTATTAGCAAGAAAGCATATAGGGGTGGCTATTTATATAGGTTTATATAGGTATTTATATTGGTTCAGTAATATGTCTGAACTTAGATTTCAGACACAGCAATTTTGTAGAATTGCACTGGATATTTGTAAACATGATTCTTAAATCTAGGAACGTTTATGAAGTGTGACATCCAAAAGTTTGTAGTCATCACCAAGACAGTTCCATCAGTATCCAGGCAACATGAAACATCATGGATAATCAGCATGGAGGATACAATGAAATATCATGAGTATTCTTCTTCATGCTGGCAACTATTGAGTTTGAGCATATATAGTTCTATCCCTCAACACAGGATTCTTGCGGGAATGTGCTATGGAAAAATTCTAACATGTTCTTTGTAGATCAGTATATAAACATATAACAGATCAATGTCAACTGGGAGACTGAAATTCTCCAACTTGAATATCTCAGAACTTCTGTTGCTTTGTATGCAGTAAACATCCATGTATTAATCATCTTCCCTAGTTTAGCATAGTGTTTATATTTGTGTAAATGTGGGAGGGAACACACCGGGAATGGTCTTTGCCTAAAGACTGGTGGAATTTGGTTAATAATGGCAACAGAGACTGCTGGGACAATGTGGTCATGATATGTATGTCTAAGTGCTATTGCTATCTTACAACTACATCACTTACTGATGGAAATTTCGCTACCAATTACCATTGTGACCCATGGCCTATTTGTTCTTTAGTTAATTGAATTGAAATCGTATTTTAATATTTCTAGGCACATTTTATAATATAGGGGATCAGAGAGGACATGGAGAAGATCATTGTCAATTTGTGGATTCATATTTAGACGGAAAGACAGGACAAATGCTTCCATCAGATCAACTGCCTTCCAAAGATGGTATGTTCTAAACCAAGGAAAACAAATGGACTCTTAAGTATATTTCCCACCTTTAAATGTAATACAGAGTTGTCGTCTTTGTGATAAAAGTAGAACAAGAGTCAACTCTGATACAGTACATACCTGACAACTAAGTATGCATTCATAACCATATTTATTTTTACTTTTATATGCAGACCCAATTCAAATCCTGTGGCTTTCAGCAGTGTACAAAAATACAATTATAATTAATACAAATTCATTAAAATGTATTCAAAAACAAAATGGCAAACAGAACTGAAAACTTCTCATTTATTCACTGGAGACTCAGTTCATGACTCCAAAGCCCAAAGGGGGGAAAAACCTGCTCTTAACTGCCTCCCTAAAGGCCTATAGAATTGGCATCAACTGCATGATGAGTGGAAATTGTTCAAAAGGCTGCCCAAAGAGGCTCTGTCTCCTAGATCCCAAACAATAACATTGTTTCAATGAAGGGATCATAAGTACACCCTCCCTAGTGGAATGTATGGAACAGGCAGATACCCTTGGCAGCAGATTGTTCTGAAGCCTAAATTCCTGAACCAACTTCCAAGGCAGTTCCTCCTACAAAGCTTTAAAGTGCTCCATTAGATTATTCATCTCTCCAATTGCGAAATAGGAACTGAACACAATTTGAATGAGTATTTCACAGTGGTGGGGTTCAAAAAAAATTACTACCGGTTCTGTGGGTGTGGCTTGGTGAGCGTGGCAGGGGAAGGATACTGTAAAATATCTAGTCAGAGGTGGTATTTGCCGGTTCTCCAAACTACTCAAAATTTCCACTACAGTTTCTCCAGAACTGTCAGAACCTGCTGAATACCACCTCTGGTATTTCAGCAATGCAAGAAATGACCATCCCAAAGATTATAAAATTAACATTTCGTTGGCAGAATGTCCTTTTATCAGGAAAGCAAACATAAAAGTGTATTTTGTCAACTCAATCTGCTTGATGACCTTCATTTGGCCAAATCAATTTAATGGTCTATTAAGAATAGGTAAAACTAAGTTTAAAAAACACAGCTATACAGAGGTCTTTATTCATATTGACATTACAGATTCTCAATTCCACTATTACTAAGCAAACTATTGCTTTTATTACTATTTCAGTTATTATTAAGCAAAAATCAGTCTTGTAATGATTTTAATATTACCTCCAAATCAATTTATTTTCTTGGCTTAAATTCTAGTTTCTCAAGCGCTACCTGTGCAGATATGAATTATCTATTGTATTTACTTCTATTTTGTATCTTGATGAAAATAAAATAAAAAGGGCATTCACCCTTAGAACTTTTCTAAATAATACTTATCTGGAAAATAATGCTGCTATAATTGTGTATGACCCTGAAAATTATATTGTACAAGAACCATTTAAAATGTTGGTTCCAGAACAATTCTATGTGTGCTAAAATTATCATATGTAACATACATCTGTAATTAAATTTTGCTTAGACTTCATATGTTCAAGAACACTTTAAAAATGTAACTACTTAATTATACATATGTGCGTCAGTTTTCAATTTTTACTAAATGTTGAACTTTTCTTTTAACTAGGTTATTTTAGAGCTGTTCGTCAGGAACCTGTCCACTTTGGAAAAATAGGAGCCGGAACACACAATACTTATGTTCATTGGTATGAGTGTGGAACTACAATACCTGGAAAATGGTAGAACAAGAAACAAACTTATCTTCCATGCTTAGAGAAAACAGTTTGTCGTGATATTACAAACTGAAATCTAGTGAGAATACTGCGTTAACTTTCAATAGCATTGGCTGCTTAATTATAAATGTTCAGATTTGCAATTATATTGCAGAAAGAAATATCATAAAATAATGTCTTGGGAAGCTGGCTCCCTAATAGTCTTATATTATCTACTTATTGTAAAAGGTGTAGTTTATTTTTTACTATTGTTGTGATATTTTGAGGCACCTTTACTGAAAAGCAGATAAGAAAAAAATATCTTCTGAATTGTATTAATGTACATTGCCAATGGTCACATTCTACTTTTCACACATACTTAAATTATTCTCTCTGTTAATTCCTGGACATTTTTGCCACTTTATAAAAAAAAATCCAGTCCAATTGAAAAGCTGCAGATTTTATTCGAACTTTAGATAAAACTGACACCACATAAGCTCTGATTTCACATTTGTTCAATTAAAATATCATTCAGGAAAAAAGAATCATCTTAACTGACCCCATACCAATATCTATTCTACCATCCTAAATACCTTTAACATTGTGCAAGAGCTCCTCAATACAAGGTAGATTTCAGTTCAGTGATACAAACTTTTATTCTTCACTCCCAGTATAGATTGGATTGTAGAAACAAACAAATAAAATGACATTAAAATTGGTTGTATGTCAGAGTTATTGGTTTTGATAGAATTTACTGGTATATGTAGAAATAACACTGAAATGGCTGTTCTATTATTGTCTCCCACCAGAAATTGAATTAGTTCATGGTAAATACACACACATACACACACAATCAATTTACAGTGGGGAACTATATTGTTATGGTGAAATAAAGATGCAAAAGCCTTAATATATTTTGCTATTGTTAATGGAAGAATCTTTCTCAAAAATACTGTGTACTCTGGTATAGATATCTGAATACAAAGTACACATGCCATTTAAAAAGATAATGTAAGTATTTCAAACAAATTTACTTCTTTAAGAACACAGCAGACTCAATAATTTACTTCTTAAAGCTGTTTTGTGGGAAATGGGTATATTTCAGATTGGCAGTGTGTAAATCATATCAAGAATGTAATTAGAGTTTTATTTCAGTTAAACATGGAGAAATGTGGCCTAGTGTGTTGTATAGAAGCATATCTAAAGTACATGTATTTAAAAATGTTTTGTATAAAACTGAAGAGTAATGTGATGTTTTATAAAGTGGAAAATGAAGTGTTTTTGAAAATAATTTTGCTGTTCCCTGCCTAAAATGCTAAGTTTGTATTACTTAAACATTTAAACATTATAAAGAGATGTAAGTTTTAATGTAAGGAAATGTAAAGGACATAAGGAATATCGCTTTGGTTGTTTATAGAAAATATAAGTACACTGCAGGTACATTGTACTCTTAATAAAATATTTTTAATCATTATTTGATTTATTGATATATTCAGCCTGCACAAAGCTAAAATTACCTAATTTGAAATGTCGCATTCATTTTTTGAAAAAGGTGAGAGTGGGGATTATTTTGAAGATTCTTTTTGCACACCATTTTTTAAAAGAATCCATTAGAAGGATTTTCAGCATCCTTGAGATCATTTTGAAATAATGAAAACAGACATGCAGGACAGTATTGCTTAAAATTATCAGATGACTAATTCAAAATACATAAAACTTTACTTCATAAGCTTTTTAAGATATATATTATATTGAGACACCCCCATCTCAAAGATCATTTAGAAGGGTTTCAAAATTATCACAAGCTTGTCCACAGAAAATTGAAGGGCTTGACAATTTTGTTATTATATAATGTGCCATTTGTAAATTTTTGCCTAAATATAGAACATAAACATGGAAAGCTGGAGGACTATATGAATCATGTGCAGAGACGAACACAGATATTGTTCTGTGAATTGTGTGTAGCTAGAGACAAAGAACACAGATTTTTAGAATTATCAAGACGTGTCCAAATGATCCTTACAGGAATGCTTATGAGCAGCCTTTAGTTCATTGTTAGGATTCTGAAATTTGTTATCAGTTTGCCTTGGCAAAATTAAACATCAGATACTAATAAATGTTTTATGAGTTGACACATTAATTTATTTTATTTACAACATATCCAAAAATCAATACATCAATTCAAGAAAACTGTAGTCTATAAAAAACACCAATTTAGCAACTGCATTTTGTGCTGTCTGAAAGTTCTAAACACTTTTCAAGGAAGCGTCACGATACAGCTAATTTAAGGCATAACTCATGAAGCTGGTTGGTAGCTAAACTAGGTAAAAGCCCCTCTGGGTCTCTGAAATTGGGCTATTAGAATATATGCAAGTTGTACATCTTTACCAGAACAAATTACACTGCAAGCCTTGCGGTGGCTTTTCTATTGGCAACGAAGACTCTTACGTTACTTGAATTGAGATCCAATTTGTTAACTTGTGTCCAGTTTTTTGAAGCTGATAACCAGTTGGGAATTCCACATTTTTTTGACATCCAGTAGGAAAAAAGAAACAATCAGGATATTATTAGCTGTAATAAATAAACTATATAGTGAGAGTTTAACATGAAAAAAGGGATGAGTTTTACTGATTATTGTGGAGAGATCAGTAATATCCAATTAACTTGATTCAATTCAAATGAAGTTGATTCTTTGAAGCAGTCATTTGACAAGGCAGACAGTACAGACTGGTAACTGCTAAGATCAAAGAGTATCTCTGAAGAAATAAGTGTGCAATTGATACCAACATGTCAATTTCTTCTGAGCATCTTCTAGCAGCTTTATTCACCACATTTTCAAGGTAGGTATAATGATAGTTGTGATCCATTTTCAATAGAAAATGTGTGTAATAGAACATGTAACGATATGTAAGAAACACCTTGAAAGCCAGGGGATAGATGCTGCCTGGGGAGCCATCTCGTAAGAGAGTATGGTATACCTGCTTAATGGGTGAAGAATAAGATTCAGAAGGCACCTTCCTTATCTTCTCAGACAGTGAAAAAGATGGCAGCAGATTTGTATTTTTACAGTTACAAGATTTGTTAATGTAGCCTTACAAAAAAGTGGAATCAGCTCTTCTGTTTGTTTTCTGTTCTAGTTTACCTGGGAGGGCTAACATGCATAAAGCTTCTCTCAAAACAGATCAGAAACTTTGAAGTTAAATGTTGGGTGCCTCAGGTTTTCCCATGTTACATTCTATTGCATCAACTGCATTGGCTACCAGTTTTCTTGCCGGTGCAATTCAAAGGGGTGCTTACTAGCTAAAGCTTTAATGGCACAGGATTAGGTTATTTGCAGAACTGCCTTTCACTTGATGATACCTGCCTGCCCCACTAGACTGAATAGGGTGGGCATGGTTCCATGTCCCTTTCCTGAAAGATTGCCATCTAGTAGGATCTAGGACGCATTCCTTTTCCAAAGCTGTTACTACATTATGGAACACCCTCACCCAGGTGTTCCAGCAGGTCCCCACCCTTTTAGTTTTCCAGAAGGTCAACAAGATCTGGCTTTTTATCTAGTGTAGACCGTGAAGTGGGAGCCCTGGTGGGGTAGTTGTTGCATACCCTGGGAAGGGGATGAGAAAGAATAAAGTTTTTAGTTTTTTCTTATTGTTTTCATGCTTTTTGTATTGTTGTTATAAGCCTCCCAGAGTTGTAACTCTAATATGGATGGCCATAGAAATCTTTTAAATAAATTAATAGTAAACAAACTTTCTTAAAACAAGATATATTTAAGTAATTGTTACGGTTCGCAGAAAAAAGTGCTGAATTGTAAGGTTCAAAATAGGCATGGCAGAAAACAAAGAATACAGTACATAGGTAAAGATAATTAAATAACATACAAAACCTGGATCTCTCACGTGCCAAATTGAAGTGCAAGGAGACAGGCACAAGATAAACTGAATAACACAGATATTGAAAAGCAGCTCTAGGGCAGAGTGAGGAAAATTTACCAAGGACATATGCTGAAATTCTGGGGTATGCTGTAATTGACAAGAATATTCAACATTTATTGAAAATAAACATTTAAAAAATCTGTTCAATAAAAGATAGATGCTAAAGACAGTATGAATCTGTTGCATACTTTATAGTTACCATATCGTTTTTCTTCGTTCCAATATTTTGGATAATCAAATTTTAAGACTGGTCTCAATTAATTTCATGTGTTTTTATACAACAGCTAAAAATAATACAGGTTTTAATAAACCACTTTAGTCTTTGATATTTGGGCATGATTTAGAAAAAGAAGAAAAAGTGTTGAGCAGGGACATCTGAATAAAATTCAAGAAAAGTGTTATGTGAATAATGCTCTAAACCGGGGTGTCAAACTGATGGTCCATGGGCTGGATGCATCATGCACACCCACCCCAGCTCCGTGAAGGGAAAAAGGTTGCAATGTCACATGATGGCAACATAACACAAAACATGCATTCTAAACAAAAAATCAATACTCATGAGCCCTTCTAAACCCATGATCTCACCTTACTGGTATTCTGATGTACTTCACTAAGTGTGCCATGGTAACATCACCTTAACTTACAAACAATAATTAAAATTGTTAAAATCACACTTGACCAATAAAGAATTCTATTCTATACTATTCTAAAATAAGGTATTTATTAGCTAATCAAAATGTTAAGACAACACATAACAACAGCATTCTGTTTCCAGTACAAGAATTTTACTGCTTGCTGAACACTGTGAGTCCTAGACAGCTATTAATATGTTATGAAAGGCATTTTAATTTATTTAAGTCATTTGAGTTTTTCTGCCAAAAACTGCCTTGGCTATAATGATCACTTAAGTATCTGTCATTTTTGCTGATATATGCAAGAAAAATAACAAATTTACACAATGTTTACAACAGCATTTTTCAGCTGCTAAAATAATAGGAATTGCTTCAAATGTGTTCTTCTGTGAAAAATGTTTCAACAAAATCCAGGGACTGGAGACTTAGTTTTCTGTAGAAAGATAGGTATAACATTTACTAAACAGACTTCTCTGCAACTGATTGAACAATGATTTGAATGGTTTTATTCAATTGTATTGTGAAGGTTACAATTTATATGTATCTAACTTTTAACAAGTGGATCTAATTTAGCACTTAATTTTATTAGTAAAACCAATTTAAGTAAGTCAGCTAGAGGTTCACCTAGCAGTTTAAATGGCAAGCTAGAACATCATCTGCTTTACATACATTTAGGTAGTGTTTCCAATAGGACAAATATTAAACTAGAAAGCCAAGCAGGAAACAAGATTCTTTTGGTCATTTATCCCAGAAAATTAAAGAGCAAAGGTGATGCCATACAATATTTTGCCTTTCAATATTTTTTAAATATCAATTAAAGAATCTTCTTGTCTGTACAGGTGGAACAGCATCAGCAGCTGCTTGGATTTACCTGGGGCTCTTTAACAGCATAGTTTTCTTATCGATAACCAGGACCTGGCTGAGTATAACCCTGGCCAAATGCAGGGCGACTGCGCGCATAAGGATTAGGGCCACTTGGAGGAGGAGTCATAGTAGTTCCAGGGGGTGGGGTAAAACCAGGTCTTGGCTGATAGGTGCTGGGCTGGCTAGGAGCCATTCCAGGTTGCGATGCTGGAGTTACGCTATAATTAGCAGATTGGGAGGCCTGAGTTGTATAATTTTGTGGAGCATAAGTGCCTGTTTGATACTGCTGAGGAGGCTGAGCTGGCAGCTGTGGAGCTGGGCCAGGAAAGCCAGGAGCTGGAGCCTGGGAGGCTTGCTGGCTGTATCCTTGGAACTGCTGTGCTTGTTGAGGAGCAGTCTGTTGGCTGTAGCCTGCTAAGAGATCAAAGTAAAACAACAGACTTAGGTGAAAGTAGAACTTGCTTCTTTGTATTAGCATTATTTATTTATTTATATTGAGTTTTACATAAAAACAAATAAAAACAGTTAGAAAAGAAAAAGGGGCAAGGAGGGGGGGAAAAGACTACAGTTATAAAATATAACAGCTTCCAATCTTCTCTTCAATAGATATTGACAACCTATCACTTTCCCTATCTCTTCCAGAAATCTCTTCAACCCCACAAAAGTAAGTAATCATCTTTTTCTATTATGAAATCTACAGATTGTTGATTCATTTTTATTATTTGTTTAGCAAAATGCCCATAAAAGATTCCCAGCCTTTTAGAAAAGCATTTGACTAAGCAGGGAAGTTTCACATTTCTGCCAATTCTAACAGTTTTATGATTCATTCCTCCATTGTGGGAATTTCAATACTGTTCCATCTTTGAGAATGCCATTGTTTTAACTACCATTGCCATACACATAATTAATTTCTGTGTGTGTGCACGCATGCACTCAAATGTGTATGCATATTCTGGAACAGTTACAAAATTTAAGTACAGCTGTTAAAAAATGAATTGAGAGTTCTACAGCGCTGTATTATGAATGTAGTGTTCTGTATGCATGGAGGAACAGTTTCACATAGCTGCATTCTAAGGGCTGATTTTTGTTGGTGAGCAAAATAGTTTTTTTAAATATCCAGCATCATCAAAAGTACAGTTCACACACTTCAACAAACCATATGTGTGAAAAAAAATCTATATAAACCATTAAAAAAAGTGACAAGTAGAGAAGGTTGAACTATATGAATTTGTATTATTTATGCATAATAAAATTATATAAACATAATATAGTATATTTCACATATTTTAATAAGTAAAACAGATGCACGTTTTAAAGAAGGGTGAACCAAATGGGAAACATGTTTTGTTTCAAGCTTGTAACAAAATAGTCCCATTTAAAATGTTTCATAAGACGGGCCAATGATTATACTCCATCAGAACAAAACCTATAAAGGACTTTGAGTGTTTTGTTCCAACCACAAAATGCTATTTTGGGAACATATTTTTGTTCTGCACTCATAACACCAATAATAATCCATTAAAAAGTGAGAAGTGCCCGTTTCAACATTGTTTCTAAAACCAGATTGCTAAAATCATCTGACCTCAAAAGTTTTAAGACAAAAATTTTAGAGTTCAAAATGCTGTAAGTATTAATTATAAGCATATGTGTATGTATATATGTTGATCCCAGCGTGAAACAATCAATATACATTGGAATGCAAAAGATTATCTCCAGATATCATTTTCACAAGTACAAAAATGTAGATAGGAGTGTATATATTTTTAATTCAGTGTTAAGTTATATCACAAATAACTTTCAAAGACAAATTAACTGGTATGTGAAACAAAAATCTGGAAGGGGTGGGAGACTAAGAACTCCATTTATTTCTTGCATAAAACACACCTGAAGCTACTTGCAATGAAACCTCTCCAATGACTGGAATCCTGTTAGCATTAAATACCAGATACATAATAATTATTAAAAAACACAGGATCCTTAAGAGAAAGCAATGACTAAAATATACTTTGAAGTCAATTTTGAACTCACCTGAATATGGGTTCAAATTTTACTTTGAAACAATCAAAAGCACAACTAGACAGTTTTGGTTTAACTAAGCTGACCTATAGCTGGTGATGATACTAAGTAAAGATTATCATCCGTAAGGTACAGTGTAAAGCCTTCTAAAACTTAAAGAAAAACATACATATTACGCAGAAAACTGAATGGCTTCTTTGTAAAGCATCACAAAACTAATTTCCATACACAGGAAGAACTGTTGGAAATTATACTGATGCTAAAACTCAACAGGCATTCATTTTATGTGTTTGTGGGAGCTGGACCTTAGATGCTGTTTTGGCAATGATTCATCCTAAACAAAATGTTCAAGGGAAATGTAAGCCTTGAGATGCAACTTTTCTTCTAGAAGTCATCTGACTTATTGGCATTTGAAAATATTTGACTAGTTTCACTGTAACTGTAGGATTCTAGATTTTTTCTAGAGGCAATCTGCAATCTGGTGGGATGAGCAAACAAAACAAACATTGAACATTTTCTACTGATTTTATTTTTTATGTTAAACTCAATTATCACAATAATGCATTCCATCTGGTTCCCCAAACAGTTATACCCTATTCCCTTTAAAAAGACCCTGAAATATGCATGATATATATCATTATATGTAAACTATTAAAGCAATCAGCTGTGAGCAAGGATAGCATTCAGTTGCTACTTAGGAATATATACATTATCACTCCAAAACAGCTTTAAAGTTATCTAAAAGTACCTAGAGTTGAGAATGAAAGAGCTTTAAAAGTATTTGTGCATTAATAACATTCCTGTTTTATTTTTACTTTGAGAACTAAACTACAAAGAAGTATTCAAGTAATTACAAAACTATTTAGCAATGCTGAAGAACCTGCCACCACCTTACCTTGATATTGTACACCATATTGTTGCTGAGGTTGAGCTTGTGGTTGTTGAGAAGGATATCCAACCTGTTGTGGATACTGTTGATACATTTGGCCTACCGATTTAAAATTTATACAACTTTAGTTCTTGCCTGGCCTTATCTTTTTCATATATTGTTCTCTTAAAATAAGAGTTTAAAAACAAATATAGAATTAATTTACAGAGAGTTTTCAGCTTAAAACTATTTGTGTAGCAATTGTTCAAAGTTACAATAGATAGCACTGCCAAAAGTGACTTACAACTAGTTCTTGGATTTACAACTGTTGCAGCTTCCCATGGTCACATGATCCAAATCTGAGTGCTTGGCAACCAGCATGTATTTCTGATGGTTCTAGTGTCCTGGGACATGTGATCGTCATTCGTGACCTTTCCAGACAGCTTCCTCCAAATCGGAGAAGCCTGGTTCACTCAACGACCACCTGATTTACTTAACTTAACTCAACTTCCCTGTAGAAACTTCGAGCTTGTTCTCTATGCCACGACGGAGAAGAATGGGCCAAGATGGATGTTACAAAGTTGGAACAGCCGAGGAACACCTAAGCATAGTGCTGGAGCAGAGACTGGGAATGGTGTTTGGAAAAGGGTAAGAAGAATCTATATTATTTGTAACTACCCCAAAAGACTATAACAGAGAAGAATTGTGCTAGCGGCGGATAGAAGATAGAAGAATTTGGAAATATAAAGAATTTTAAAGTTTTTTTTTTAAAAAAAATCTAAAATTTGAAAAGGAACTAATCTAGGAAAACATTAATTTGGAATCGGCAATCAGGCGGGATTTGGCATTAATCTGAATGCTGAAAATAACTGTTCTAAAGAGGAGTAATATTTGATTTTTAAAATTGTTGAAGTTAAATAAAGAAACGGAAAAAGGAGTGGCTGTGGTACTCGACTAAAAGTGCCACTTGCTGATGAAAGAAAAATCCTAATGGCTTTATTAAAAGAAGAAATTAAAAAAAGAATAAAAGAAAGATATTATAATAAGTTGGAATATATTATAATCAAAGAGCAAGGATAGAGGAGTCCACCTCTGGAATTATTGGTGTTTTGGACTGATTAAAATTGGAAATAAAAATTTGAGGACATTGATATTTTAAAACAAAGAAGAGACACTGGTTCAAATAAAATAAAATAAATTGGATACTGGACAATTGGAATAATAAGCAATATAAAGTTGAGTGAAATATGTAAAGAAATAAGAATATATTTGATCTATGAATGAGATATGGGACAGAATGTTGGATTTATGCACTAAAATACAGAATATAGAAGAAAATTCAGAAATGGCGACGACAGTAGAAGGAGGAGAAAGAACAAAGAAGGGGGAGGAGTCAAAAGAAAGAGGAACCAGTGAAATGGAACAAAAGGATCAACAAATAATACAAAAGAAGAAAAAAGAAGTTGAACGTAAGATATCCATGATAGATATAATAAATAAGGGGGGGATATTGAGATGGAAATGCTGATAAATGAAATGGTTAGAGAAATACAGAGAGATCAAAAGAAGGTGGGGGAAAACTTTGAAAAAAGGAAGAGAAAATATAAGGAAATTATGATAAATAGAGGAAGGATTAAGGGGAAAAGCCAAAAGATGATAGTAAATGACAAGCAAGCAAACAAAAAACAAATTAACATAAAATAAAGACTTAGAGATAATGGCTAGAAATGGAAAAGAGGGAGACTCCACATGGAGAGGTATACTTATATTAAACATATATAATAGATTTTGAGGAAATGGGATTAAGAAGTAGAACAAGAAGGGATAATTTTAATGCAATAGTGATGAAAATAAGAATTTATAATATATTATATCAAATAAAATAGAATGTTTATGTAATATATAAGTGATCAATAGTTAAAATATGAAAAGAAATGTTATGTGGAGCCTGACAGAATAGATATAACTATATAGTAGGATAATATTTTTAATGAACTATATATTTTGTTATATATATAAGGTAATAATGTTGTAAGTCTGAATTGATTGGCTAAGAGAAACTATATTTGTGTTAAAATTAGATGTTAGAGGGAAGGAAACATATAGAAAATAAAATATAAGCAATAGTGGCATATGTAATATTGGGGAAACATAATAGGGGATAATACTGTATAAATTAAGATGGAATTTTTGAACATTTAAAGAATGGTATGAAATTGTAAACATGGTCAGCATAAGAATACATGATTAACGAAATTAGAGATTGATTAATATGTTTTTAATGAATTAAATATTTTGTTATCCACTGGTACAAAGTAATTAGGATATATTGTTATAAATTTGATAATATAAACATGGTGAATGTAAGAATGTACAATTAAGGAAATTAAAGAAGGGATAACTATAAATTAAGATGAAAATTTTGAATGGCTAATGAAATGATATGATTAGATTAGATTAGATTGTAAATATGTAGAATATATGAGAAAAGGTAGAGAATGGATTAAAATAAAGAGACTAATACAAAATAATTTATGAGAACATAAAGATGAAAAAATGATAATAGACAATGAAGTGATGCTAGAAAGTTGTATCTGTGATTATGGACATGATTGATTTAAAATGTAAAACACCTGAAACAACACTGTTCTCACAAAGATGTATTTAAACAATTAAAAAATAAAAAACTTTTTGACAGAAAAGAACTACTTGTAACTGATTATTTTCTAGGGTCAAAAGTAACGTAGCAAGAATGTAGTTTGCATTTTCTCTTCCAACCCATTTCCCAATGAGAATATACATATGTCTATATGTTATCAGAATACAGTTGCCTTTTGGCAGTAAATAAAAATTTAGAGAAAGACAGTGATCTATTGTTTGCAAAACACTTTGGAAGAAAACTTTTACTTTATGAACAGGGGAGTACGCTTCCTTCTCTCTCTGCAGGACCACTATCACTAACTGCCTGCTGAAAAAATACCTACCAAAAGGAAGATAACAGCAACCACAGAAGAGCCTGCATAAACACACTGCTTTGGAAAGCCAGTTTTGTGTGTATATCTTTAGGTCAGAAACAATATTGGAATTTTCTATCATATGTCTGTGAAATGAACCAGATGTTTTAAAAATAATATTTCTAACTATTTATTTAGAAAATTTAACTAGTACTTCCAGTAATAGTGCTTCATTTTAAGCCACTATGCTAAATCCTTCAAATAGCCTTTATGCTTTCATTTTAGAGAACTCTTTGTTATGACTCAGCATTAGTGCACCACCTAGCGCTAGGTTACACAATTTAAAAAAATTGTACATTATGCATGTTTCCTGTATTTGATTAATTAAAACAGCTAAAAACCATCCGTTAGCATATAAAGCACTTTAGAGTAATATAAAACACCCCCAATTCCAAGAAACAGAATTACATATTGACAGTGGAAAAATGAAGCAGTGACTAAACATAAACGAGTGTGAACAAATATGGCTTGAAAACAAAGATTTTTAAAAAGTCAAAAATATCATAAGATAGAAATGCTTGAGAGAAATCAAAAGGTGAAGCAAACAGTCACGGAAGTAAAGACAACAAGACCAGAAACAGTTAAAACAAAACTGCAAACAGCCAAAAGTGGTGTGGAACTATAGGAGCAATCATAAACTCTATCACTTTGTGAGATATGAAAGGGCACATATGTTCACTGGGAGTGGGATGAACATGAATGAATTGCTTACCATCTATTTGACCAGATTGGGGCTGAGATCCTCCATATGATGGTTGTTGTGGTTGAACACACGGTGGATGGGCAGCAGAGGATGCAGAAGTGATGCTGTCAGGTGTTCCTGAACGTTCCTCTACGGGGGCACTGGGTGGTCCTGGAAAAGAAAATATTTTGAAAAGAAAATAATGAACAATAATCTGAAATGCAATACAATATTCTGGAATCCAATATTCTTACTTTCATTAATAAAGGTGGGATGCAAATAAACACCATAGAGTAAGATAGCTGCAGAACTTCAATAAAATTAATTCTCTGTGTCAGAAATGCATAGCTTTCCAGTTTGCCTTCAAATGGATGTTTAGATTCCTACTTCAAAAAGTAGGAGCCATAATGAAACCATTGAAATAAAATTCAATTTCACATATTTTTTGTCTTCTTTAAATCAAATTAATTAAATATAAGTAATATTGCTTCCTATATAGCTTTCCTTTCTCTCATTTAGAAATCACTACCTGATGATTACTTTTGGAAGTCATACCTAAGGTTTTCAGGTCATATGAATGTGTTTTGTGACATTTTTGCCAAAAGCCAACATTTACTTCATTTTCAAAAAAAAATACTACACCGTGATTAATTGGTTTCCTTAACAAATGTGGCATTTGTTAACAATCGTGATGTTCATTTAACAACTGCTACAAGAAAAGTCATAAAATTGGGAACATAATACATATTTCACTACTTAGAGAAATATTTTAAATAATGCAAATAATTTTTCAAATACTATGCAAATATGCTATTAGATTCCAAATTAGCAATTTCTGTACAGCTATGGCAGTACCATTGTGGGCTCTAACTACATTTTTAAAATTCATTTTTAAATTTAAGTGTTGCCATGTCATATCTGCTTTAAAATGCTGCCATCTGCTGTTTGCTTATATTACTTTTTGAAACTCAAATAGTAGTATTACTGGACTTGATACTGACCAAAGTAATTTTGATCACCAGCTGTTTTGACCATTAGCAGACAAAACTAACTATGTTGAGTTTCACAATTATTCAGAGTTATACCAATTCTAATTGATATTAACTTCCTATAATGTACCTTATAATGCTGAATTAATCACTGTTACAGACAGATTCTGGAGTGTATCCAAAGGAGCAGATACTAAAACTTCATCATAATCAGATATTAATCCTACTAAAATATTTAACTGGTATTGAAGTTAACTGGAACTTATTTTTAACAGGCTATTCCAAGCTAATTAAGTTGAATCCAATCCACTTCGCAGCATACTGAGAACAGCTATGAATCCAATCCATTAAATCAATGTTGCAGCTTTATTTTTCTACTGAACTTCATGGTTACTTCTGCAATAAGTAGTCATGTGTATCTACTATGCAGTAGCAATTCTCTGTCATTTCAAAAACACTCTGCTAATAGTTAGCATGCAAAAAAATAATATGGGATTTTCCTCTACAGATTTAATTCTCCATTTTAAAAATTCCTTGTTTTTTAACTATTAATCTTCAGGTGTGAGATTAATATACTGTCACTGTTGCTATTTAGAAATTCAGTATACATATATTTCCAATATACAGACTTCTCAGATTTTGAAAGTCAGATTTATGTAAACCAAGGTAATCCCTGAGTATGTTATTAGCAGCTGTTAAGAACTAATTGTGACTGCCTACTGAAACATCACTTTCCATTGCTTAAAATTCAACCAATGTGAACAGATAAATCCTTAAATCTGCACAGGCCTAGTTATGATCCTAGTAAACTAATACAGTAATAAATTGTCAGCCAAATCTGTCTTTATTGTATTTATATCTCAAATTTTCACTGAAATATGAGTAGTCATCTCAGTTTTGTCTTGGCAACTATCTTCTGATGTGATTTAAGTTGAGAGGGAATGCCCAAAATCATGCAGTACAGAAAGTGGGAACTTGAACCTGGTTGCCTCCAGTTTAAGTGCAACAACTGATCAAAGGTAGTCCTTGACTTATGACCATAATTGAATCCAAAATTTCTGTTGCTAAGTGATACAGTTGTTGAGCTTTGCCCCATTTTATGCTTTTTCTTGGCACAACTGTTAAGGGAATCACTGCAGTTAAATAGTAGCATGGTTAAGTGAATTTGGCTTCCCCCTTGACTTTTCAGGGAGTTGCAAAAGATAATCACATGATTCCAGGACACAGAAACTGTCATAAATACATGCCAATTGCCAAGCATCTAAATTTTGATTACGTGATCACGGGGATGCTGCAACACATTTGTTAAGTGTGAAAAATAGTCATAAGTCACTTTTTTCAGTGCCACTGCAACTTTGTACAGTCAGTAAGTGAATGGTGATTAAGTCAATGACTACCTGTATGATGGTTCAAATGTATACTTTGTGGTCTACTTAAGAGATATAAGCTTGTACTGAATTCAAGTTGGAAAGAAGTATATTAAAGACACTAAAAGGGAAAAAAAAAAAGAGAAAATTGAACTTCTGTTCCATTGGGGGAGTAAACATCATGCAAAAAAATTGAAATCAAAATTTCTTCATGTACAAGTAATCATCACTTAACAACCACGATTAGAATGGAATCCTGGTTATTAAGCAAGATGTCACATGAATACTGCACTCGGCAACCCTGATTCCAGCACTCCTGGTTGCCGTCATTAAGTGAACACACCGAGCTAAAATCCTTATTTTCCTTTGTCTTTGTGCCCTCTCTCCCTATCAGGGAGTCCTCCTGGCAGGTGGTAGTAGCTCCAACCTTCCCTACCAGCTTCTCCATTGGCTTTCTAAGGAAGCCACTAGAGGGGATTGCAAATGGTGATGAGATGCTTGGCTATGAGTCGTAAGTGCAAGCAAAGCACCCAGACTGCAAGCACATGACTACAGTGGGAAGAGGAGAGAGAGAATGTGTGTGTGTGTTTTGGTCAGAAGTACAGGCATGTAAAGCACTCTTTCCAAGGCTGTTGTTAAACTGAATAGTTGTTAAGCGTCTGGTCCTTAAGTGAGGACTACCTGTACCGTCTATAAAATTTCCATATGCCTGGCCAATTCTGAAAGAGCAAACTTCAAGCAACTGTTTCAATAAAATACATATTCTTACCCGACACCTGATCATCTTTCAGCCCAAATGCTGACAAGACATTTTTGTTGATCTCATCTTGATTTTTTAATGGATCAAAAGCAGACATACTTGCTGCTATAACTTGAGTAGACGGCTTGACAGTTGAATCGGCACTAGTAGGCTTGTCTTCCCTACCCTCTGCAACATCTGCAACACAGATTGAAATTTTTAGAGACCTGAGATTATGCTAGCACTTAACACTGTTAGTAACAAGCCTAAATGTTACAGACTTAAAGCAATTATAGCAATGCACAAAAAGTTTTCAGGTCACAACTCCAAACCCAAAATATTTCAATTGGATGTTATCAGAAATAATTCCATATTGGGGAAAACACTGAATCCTCACCTAAAATACATCATTCAAACCGATTTTGCAGTCAGAATACTTATTTTAAGAAAGGAAAGGCTACTTGATGTAGTCTTTAATGGGCTAGTCTAAAATCCAGGAGATTGTGCCTTCTAGTCCAACCTCAGGCACAAAAGCCACCTAAGTGATCTTGGCCATTTACTATGCCGCAGCCCAAGCCACTTCACAGGGGCTGTTACGACTAGGAGGAAGCATTTATGTTTGCTACCTTGAATTACTTAAAAAATCATAAAGGTAGCATAAATGAAACTAAATGAATGGAAGTATTATAGGCTGCATTGGGAGAGTTTATGGGGCTGTGTTTTTCTGTTTGCTTCTTCTTCTTCTTCTATTATTGCTTTGTTATGATTATGAGGCACTCAGAGCTCTTATTTTAATATGGGCAGTCATATAAATATTTTAAATAAACTAAGTGTAAATGAGGCTGGAACAGATGTTCAGAGAAAAAAGGATTCCACCCTTGACCGTTTGTACATTTCTACGCAAGTATAGCTTATGAGAAGGGGCATTTACATCAATCTATTTTTAAGTAACAATTATCAACTTACCATTTTCAGGCAGACTAGTAGAAAATCCTGGCTCAGCAGGAGGTTCTAAGCAATCCAATAAACGATTCACTTTGTTGCGAAGCTCTATCAGTTCTCTGCGGAGGTATTTTACCTGATTTGATTCTAGCGGTCTTGGCTGCCCATTAACTATAAAACAGATACCACACTAATAAGTTTTCACAAGACAAGACAAAATAGTTTTAAAACCTTATAACCAGGGGTGGGATTCTACCGGTTCGCACCTATTCGCTAGAACCGGTTGTTAACTTTCTAAGCAGTTTGGAGAACCGGTTGTTAGAAAAAATTACTGGCCTAATCCTGTAAGGAAGGTAAGAAGGAAACATTCTGGTATTGCTTACAGAAACTGTCTCTCTGTTAACCCTTATTACAGTCTTGGCAGGACTAGACTTCCTATCTCAGGAACATCTCTGGAGTTTTTTTCCCTTCCTTTGCTGGTACTTTGCTTGTGTGGAGTGACCATTCAAAATTACAATGGCACTGAAAAAAGTGACATGACCATTTTTCACACTTACGACTGTTGCAGCATCCCCACAGTCATGAGAGGCCAGGCGAGGAGATGCATGCCTCGATGTGAGTGATACTGAGTTGGCCACACCCAGCCAATAACATGACCACCAAGCCATGTCCACCCAGTCACATGATCACCAAGTCACGCCTACGACCTAAGCCATGTCCACAGAACCAGTTTTTTAAAATTTTGAATCCCACCCTTGCTTATAACTTGTACATAACTTGTATGAACTTTTTCAGAACAAATGATAGGTACTATCCATGTTCTGAACAGTTACACAATTTCATGGGAATGAAGGAAAATTTATTACCAAGGAAAATTGGGGGGGGGGGGAGTATCAAGCAACTGTTAACAATATTTTTACTCACCAAACAGTGTCAGTTTCAGGATTCTACTGCACTGAATTGCAAATGAAAGATCTGAACTATCAAAGATTGTTATAAGATCTCCATCTGTTAATGAAAGAGAATGAGGAATCAGAAACAAATCCCCCCCTCCCAAAAAAAATCTTCACATATCAGTCATTTAAAAAATCTGTTTCCAAAAGATAGCAAGCAGTTGGACAGGGCAGGAATCAAATAAAACCTGGAAGCACAGGCAGAGTTGAAAGTGCTGCCAAAACTTCTTCCAAGGCTTTTCTCTGTATTCTGCAAGTACCCGGGGGGGGAGTGTGGGGCAGCGCTGGCGCTTTGATATCATAAAGATTCTTTGTGATATATATTTTTTTTAAAAAATCTCCTGGCCAATGGAGCCTGCAGCCTGCCTCCTCTGCTAGCATGGGTGAGTCCAACCAATCTCATTGAAATGACATGGTCCCTCAGATAACTTGGAATGATGCCATAAAGGGCTTTAAAACCAACACCTTGAATTACACCCAGAAGCAAACAGGCAGCCAGTGCAGCTCTCAGATAAGTTGTTTCATAGTCCAGTCTTGGGACCCCAAAGCTTCCAGCACCACTTCACTCTGCACCAACTGTAGCTTCTGAATGCTCTTCAAGGATAGCCCCATGTAGAATTGTTACAGTAATCCAAGCATGAGAGGACTATGTCTTATGACAGAGCACAGGGATGTTACTAAAATATTAAGCATAGATTATCACTGATGGCAAATTTAGCACTAAACGTTTAAATGGAAGTAATTAAAGATATTCACAGCAAACTTTGCTAATAGGTACCTTGGGTATATAATACTTAAGGCTGTGCTATAACCATAATGCTGCCCCAATATGCAATTATCGCCAGTCAATAACAAGAAGTGCCATTAAGCTTATCCAACAATTACAAAATGCAACCACTCAGTTTATGCATTTAACTGAGTGGTACATACATTGAAAATTATTGGAAAGAAGTATTTGGGCTCTAGTACAAGCAGAATATCTCTTTGCCGTTTATTGAAGTATATAGTTTTTCAGGCTTCTATGTAAATTCTGAAAAAGGATGTAGCTATTCTAATAGTCACGTTAAATGCAATGCTTTAATTATTCCATGGAAACAACTTTTTTCAAATACTCAAATGAAAACCTATAAACAAATGTGTTTGTTTTACTTATTAAAAATTCTTCATTTAAAAGAGCTGTAAAGAAGTTCTGAATCATTTATGAAATGTGTAAGCTCTATTAATATTCCAACAAAAACCAGAAAATGTTTTTTTTAATGGTTACAGTGTTAAACAAAAGAGGAAGTTTGGATAATATATAGATGAGAAGTACTATCTGAGGATTTCCATTCAGATTGAAAATTATAAAAACTGCATACATATAGGTCACAATTTATATTTACTGCTTTTTACTGTCTCTTCGGGGATTCACAAAACACCTCTGCTCTCTAACTGTGGCAAGGTAGGACTATATAAATCTCCAATTGAGCTGTAAGAGTCTTTATTGCTGCCCAACAGATTCATCAAGGACAGATTATCTTTCCAAGCTATTTCTTTCATCCATCTTCCTCTTCAATACGTCCATTCCACTGGATAAATTTCACATTATAATCATTTTCTATGTCACTGGTCCCTAAATCTTAGTTATGTGTTCTTCATATTTTACTATAAGTTATCCCACACTTGCATCATTTTAAGGCAAACAGCCATTTTAGACTGGTTTCAAACATGTGGCCAATGGCCCAACACAGAAGATAAAACAAAGGAGATACATATACAAGTATTACTGTACAAAACATTACTGTATACAGAAAATATGTTGCAATTTAATCAATCATACTGTAACTGTACAATGTAAAATTCAATGTAACTAAAAAAGATCTAATTATACTGGAATTATTCTGTTTCATGGGCTTTGCATGCACTAGAAAAAAACATGTTCCAAAGCAAAAGCTGAAGACTTCCATTAAGGTTTTTTATTATTAGACAACATAAGAAAATGGAAGGTAAAAATATCCTACCTTCATCCTTATATTTTATTGTAACTTCATCGTTGCTCAGCAGTTTTCCCCTGAAAACTCTCTGCATCATCAGCACCAGCTCATCATAGGTGATATCCTCATTGTGAATTGGAATTCTCCTAATATCATCACCCAGCTGAGCTTTAATTATAAGCTTTCCACTCAAATCCAGTTGTCCATTCATAGTTACTACAGGTCTTCTTACAGAGATACAAAAATGGATTAGTAACATGAATATCAATTTAACCAAAACACAAAGTTGGCTCATGGTAGGGAGAAAGAACAAAAGTCTTCCCCACCCCCCAGCTCTGTATGTGTGTGTTGTGTGTGTATGTTCATATATGTGTATAAATAAATGACAGAGCATTAGTAATAGGAATATCTCATTCCCTGGCATTTCAGTAGTTTTGTAAAATTCTGAAGGAAGTTAGATTCCTTTCAAAGTGACTCAAACTGAATTTGTATTTTAAATTTTGCACAATTGTCCTCCTTAAAAAATACTCCTGTATTTGGTATACTAGGAAATAAATCATTTAAAACATAATTTCAAAAATGTAGACACAGGGAAAAATGTGAAGTTATAATGGACAATTGCAGCTTTGTCAACCATAAATAGCATAGCACAGTACATTATTGACTACAAGAGTGACACAAGCATCAAGATATCCATTGTCAGCATTTAAAGTTCCCATTTTAAAAAAAGCAAGAAATCTAACGGGGAGATTCTTATCTTGTAAGATTTCTGGAGTCATAATATGAAATCTCACAATTTTTGTATTGATTCTCAAGAAGGATCAAGAGATTTTGGATGATTAATTTTTGTGGGGGAAGGTAATGAAAACATTTCAATTACTTTAGATAAAATTGGTTATTTTAAAGAGTTGGACCCAATTTAAATGACATATCATAATAAAAAACAGGAATCATTCTAACTTCATGATACTTTGATAAATTCTATAAAAACACCAAATTTGTAAATTACCTGTTTTGCACTGGTTCCCAAAAGAATGATTCTTTTTACTTTCAGCTGGATGTCAAATGCCCCGCCATGCAGTGCTGATTAGCAAAATAGGCAGTAGTGCACAATACCTACAACAAAACATTAAATTAGGTTTTATTGCTATATCTCAAGAGACCAATATCATTCATGAGCCAGTCTACATATGTTTGCATTCTCAAGATATAACCCTGAATCTACACTGATTTCACTAATCCTTGACTTTTATTATTGCCAAAATATCCTGCTTTTTAGGTATTCCATTAATAAGTAACCATATTACATAGTTGCAATTTTATATTTCATCAAACCAAGGTAGAAGGCAGTTTAGAAAAAACTGATCATGATATTTGGTGACCAAAAGGTCATAGTTCAAAACTGTTAAAACATCAGTTCTATAAGTCTAGAATCAAAAACTGACACTTGCTAAGATTAATGGCTGGAAATAATGCCTGAAAATGAATGTCTAAAAAGTTATAACCCCTATATTTTACATTTTTCCCATATAAAACAAATTTTAATATTTAATATTAGCACTCAATTGTCAAAACCACAATATGATTTTATAATTTGTTTTTATCAATATTCAAATAACCATATTCAAATAACATGTATAACAGCATATTGACAGCCAACCCTTCCCTCCAAAGCATACAAAAAACATTCCCTAATTCTTCATTGGATGTAAAGTCCAGACATATGAACAAAATTCTGAATTAATTTTCCCTATGTTGGAGGACAGGAAAGGAGAATACAGAGGATCTCATTCAGCAGGTAATGTACAGTATGAAGAACAATAAATCCAAGAGCTGTTGAATATATTGAACTGCATTATCTTGATTTAAAACTTGATTAAATAAAAGTATTATTCACAACGCGGGAGGGAAGGAGGGAGGAAGGTCAGAGAGAAAGTGTAAGCAATTTGTTTCAATTATTACCAGTACTATTTATTTATTAAGAAAATGTATATGGCTGCCCAACTCACTCTCGGTGACCCCAGGTGCCTTACAAAGATAAAACCCAGTACACAAACCAATAAACCCTCAATCTCCTAGCGCAGTGGTCGCCAACCAGTGGGCCAGGGACCACTGGTTGTCCATGAGAAAATTTTGCTGGTCCGCAGAGAAATGTCACCCCCAAAACAATTAATATAGGCTGCGCGGGAACACAAGGCTACATTGCCCACATGGCCTAAGGGAACAAGGTAGTGAGGGGAGGGGGGAAAGGGCGGAAGGGGGAACTTGCCCCACTCACCCCACACACCTGGCCTGGCCACTGGGCTGCTTCTTTCCACTTCTTTCTGCTTCTGCTTTTGGCTGCACACAAGAAAAACAGCAAAAGTCTTTCTTTCTCTACCAAACTCCGCCAGAAATGAGTCTCTGGGACCCTGCAAGGCATCCTGCTCCAAGAGGCTGCACTACCACAAGTCTCACAAAGACTCATTTCTGGCGGAATTTGGGGGAGATAAAGACTTCTGTTGTTTCTGCTGCTTTCTTTGCATGAAGCCAAAAGTCTCCCCCCCCCGCCCCGAAAACAAAGCTGGAGACTGTATCCTGTGATCCCAAATAAAGAACAATCAATCAACAGGAAAACAGGGTGGGGAATTTTCATGCAGGCTTTTGGGGGGATTTTCCCAGGGTCTCTGGTCCACAGGATTTAAAATTATGAGTTTGGTGGTCCAAGGTCTAAAAGGTTGGCAACCCCTGCCCTAGCGACAACAATAAGACCAGCTACATGATGGGCTCAATGCATTACAAAATAAATACTGTATAATGCAGGAACAAGCATAACCCAGTAAAATAGTTTGATGCAAACAAGAAAAAGGCTATCATTTACTGCTATTTAGATATTATTTAGATATATTTAGATATTAAGCTTAAATCCAATTGAGAATTTGTAATCAAATCTTTATTGGTTAATATACATGTTTTTAAGTTGCAGTAAGAACTGTGATGCAATGTTACAAGGTCGAGAAGATAATCTCTGACTTTATGTTAACAGAGAAATAGAAATCTTTCAGATATTCAGGAATTATTTCCTATTTGGGAACTAATCTTCTCAATCATTTGTACACAAAATACAGTTAACCTATAACATTTACTGTTTTTTTTGTCATGACAAAACACCACTTATTCTTATCTTTTGTTGTATATTTTAAAGATCCAAATGTAAAGAACATTTTGAAATAAAATTCCTCCAAATGTGTTTTAAAATGTTATATTGTTTAATGACTACAGACTCAACATTTCTTCTGCTTTATCTTTTTGTTTGTAATCTAACAATTATATTGTACAACAGGAAAATATAAATGAGTTAATCTATAGCGGCATACAGTAATTTTAAAAACCAATTTCCATTTCAGAATCAACACTGAAAGATACTCTGTAAGAATTCTACCAGTATTTATGATGTCATAAAATTTACTATCTCTGCTGTATCAAATTAACTAATGCTCTGTCTGGAACCTTTATATTACTGCTCTAAATGTCATCCTTTGAGTTTAATTTGTAATCAAGAGACGGCCAAAATCTTACAAGTGAATTAAGGTTCCAGTGCAATTTTCATTAAAGGCAGATAATTTGGGACATGTTGGCCTAAAATCCTATTAGGATTTTACTTATCTAAGAATAAGTCTTACTGAAATCAGCAACAGTCTATTTCTAGGCATGTAAGACTTGTACTGTACATACGTTAGGAATTATAGGTAGTCCTCAACCAATGACTACAATTGAGACCAGAATTTCTATTTTTAAGCTAGACAGTTAAGTGAGTTGTGCCTAATTTTACAACCTTTTTTTGCCAGAGGTGGTTAAGCAAATCACGGCAGTTGTCACGTAGTGAATGTGGTCATTAAGCAAATCTGGTTTTTCCAACTGATTTTGCTTGCCAGGAGCTGGCTGGGAAGGTCATAAAAGGTGATGGTGTGACACACATACCCATGCTGCAACCAGAATATAGTATGTATTATAAGAATGTGCCAAGCAAAATTCGATTGGAAGTTATGTATTATGTATTATATTGAAGGTCATAAACTTAAGGTATATATTGAAGTTTAAATAAGAGTTGAATGGATGTAATTAAAAGATATAAAGGTGTCATACTCCAATTATTAACTACAGGAGAAAATTTGTTTAATGAGAAAAGATAATATGAAATTGAAACAGAACAGACAAAATTATAAATATAATGATTTGAATTAAGATGAGATAATCAAAATAAAATTGAGCAAATTAAAAGAGGGGAAAAACTATATAGAAAATGTAAAATAGTATAAGATATGGAATAGAATACAAAAAGGAGCATGAAATTTAGTTTTTTGTCTGTATAAAGAAAATTCAACCCAGGACCATGCTATTTTCAAAAAAGATGTTTTACTTGTATTTTGTGTGTGAAAACCCAAATAAAACTTTATTGGGAAAAAAAACTATTGTGACCTGCTGACAAGCAAAGTCAATGGGATAGCCAGATGCACTTAATAGCCCTGTTATTAACTTAACTGCAATGAGCCACTTAACAAATGTGGCAGGAAAAGTTGTAAAATGGGACAAAACTCAACAAATGTCTCACTTAGCAACAGAAATTTTGGGCTGAATTGTGGTCGTACCTCGAGGGCTACCTGTATATGTATCTCTGGTTCAGTTTGAAGGATTATAAAGCAGTTATTTTAATAAAATCCTCCTTAGGGGGAGATGCAAGGAAAGTTTATTTAAATGTATTATTTGATTATTTATTTCACAATGATTATAGCCTGCCCCAATCCACAGACTCTTAAAATATTTTAAGTGTATTTTCATATGAAAAACACCCATCTCAGTATATCTAACATGATTTAGTTTTATTTTAAATATACAAAAAGCACCACTACATTTTACAAGTTTATCCCAGAAATCAAGCTCTTCAATTCCAACAAAGTAACTTAATCACATTGCAACTTCATTGTTGGAATAATTCAAAAATAAAAATAAAAATTGAACACTTCTCCGTAGAATGTTCCACTTTGACCAGTGATTAAGTATTATAATAATATGGGAGGTGGAATACCTACATTGTTGAGCAAATAAAAAGCTCCTGAAGTAAAGAAATTGATAAAAGCTTGGATTCTTGAGAATTTTCAAACGAGGCAAGTTTCCACATGTCATAAATGTGGAATAAATACATCCATTCATTGCAAAAGTCAGATTTTAAAGCAAAACCCTCCCTCTAACAATAACAGAGTTGGAAGGGACCTTGGAGGTCTTCTAGTCCAACTTCCTGCTCAGGCAGGAAACCCTATATACCATTTCAGACAAATGGTTGTCCAATCTCTTCTGAAAAACCTCCAGCGTTGGAGCATCTACAATTTCTGGAGGCAACTTGTTCCATTGATTAATTGTTCTGTCAGTAAGTTTCTCCTTAGTTCTAGGTTGCTTCTCTCCTTGATTAGTTTCCATCCATTGCTTCCTGTCCTGTCTTCTTTGGAGAATAGCTTGATTCCCTTTTCCTTAGATATTGGACTGCTATCATGTCACCCTTAGTCCTTCTTTTCATTAAACTAGACATATCCAATTCTTTCATGCGGTCTTCAGTGCCTCAATTGTGAGTCTCCACATCTTTTTTTATAGGGTGGCAATCTACCTTGAATGACCTTGGCCACTATCTTTCCTTCTTCCAAGTAACAGTCCTTTGGTGGGGAAACCATGTTTTTCACAGCCCAGTCTTGTGGAAACCTTAATTTTTACAGAGCTACAAACTGCCCATTGTAAAGTATCCAGCATCAGACAGGGTTGGGGAGGGAATGCCCCCCCTCAAAAAAAAAAAAAAAACCAGCAAAGTTCTTCTTGCCCTAAAGATTGTCCTAACTAGGGGTCTCCAACCTTGGCCACTTTAAGGCTGGAGGACTTCAACTCCCAGAATTCCTTTGCTGGCTGGGGAATTCTGGGAGTTGAAGTCCTCCAGCCTTAAAGTGGCCAAGGTTGGAGACTCCTGGTCCTGACAACCCCAGAATAATGCACTGCGCCCTATAAGTTTCCACTGTTTGGTCGCAACAAGCCGATAAGGCTGCTCGCCTTCGGGCCAGAAACGCTGAAAGGGAACCGGGCGCAGGAAGCGGCAGCAGCTGACCGGCGCTCAGCGAGCTCCTTCCTTTTCAGGAAAAAAAATGGAAAAGGAAGTTCCGACTGGGCTTCCCTTTTTCTTCCCCTGGCGATTCTCCGGCCGGTTACCTGCCCCCCGCCTCACATAACACATACAGAGCAGCTCGGCCGCGCCCATTCAAAACAACGCCACGGTTCTCCGGCTGCCTCAATTTTGTCTCTTCTAGCACCAGGTCATGGGCAGCGCCTCCCTCAGCCACGCAGGCAGCCAAACCCGGCCTAAAGTCCCCCGATACTCACCGCCGCCGCCGCCGCCGCCGTACGTGGCAAAGGGAATCTGCCAAGGTGGTCAAGGCCCCGCCCTCAGTCCAAATCTCCGCGCTAGCGCACCGCTTTCGCGACCCGACAGCGGGTTCCTGGCCTGGAAACGCTTCGTCACAGGAAAACGGAACTGCGCAGGCGCAAGAAGAGTCGCCGGGGAAGTCGTAATACGCAATTCGGACTCTTCCGCGTTTGTCTCCATAACTGGACGAAGATCTTTTTTATTTCTACACGGGATTCAACTGATTGCCGGAAAGAGTCTCTTGTGGATTTGTGAAATTGACACTTTATTGTAAAAAAAATCGATAACTTTTGCAGTGAGAAGTGTTCAATGTCAATGTTTATCCTTTGCATTAAACATTTTTTAGTTGGATTTAGGGCGGTAGGTGAATGCGTGTTCAGTCGAAAGTTGCTTTTAGATTCTGCTGTGAGACCATTGAAATTCGATGAAACAAACAAACAAAAAATGTCCACCTGCTCCCAAGAACTCAATTCTGCATAATAGGCATTCGTTCTTCTCTCACAGCCACTTCGGTGTGACATAAGTGTCATATAATTTAAATTATAAAATCCCGTTATTTAGGACATTAGGACATTTTATTTTAATTTTTACATTTTTGAACCGGCCAGCTTCCTCAAAGAGGGAGTATGCCATCTTGTACAACATGCCAGTTTTAATACACTTGGCATTGCCTTCTTATTCATAAAAATATCCGCAGAAATTCTGTCAGCAGTAGTAGGGTACCATGTATCTTTTGCCTTGCCTTTTTTTCTGCAATATCCTGCAAAATTGTGCTATACCGTACAGCAATGCATTCTAGGAGGTAGAGTTCACTCTAGGTCCACAAGTGTGTAGGCATGCAAGCCTGTCCTGCTGATTTGATGAGCAGTAAAGCAGTATTTTTCAGCTTTAGAAGTTCAGCGGACGGCTACGATGGTACTATACTGATAAATTCATTTCTCAGAGGTTTTACAGTAGATAAAGTTCTAACACTTGACCTGAAGGACAGGTGACTTCATGTCACCAAGAAGTATTTTTCTGAAAAAAGGGGGAGGGGGTATGCAACCTGGCTGCACCTTAATAAGTTCAAAACCAGTCTTGATAAGCAAGTAGAACAAATTTAAATAGAAGAGCTATATCTACAGAATAGATAGGAAAAGGACACATTTTGGGGTCCTTGTGAACAGTTAACTGAAATCTTAAGAGAACTGAATTGTAAAATATTTTGTATAATAAAAGCTATCCTGGTAATTAAGCTTGTGCAATAGATTACCAGTCTTAAGATCTTTATTTCTTTTAGAATGATCAAAGCTAGTGATGTTATGTCATAATTACAAGCCAATGGTTTCATTTTAACCTTGTCTGACTTGTTTTATTGCCAGAGGGTTTTCATACATTAAGACTCAAGATTAAGTAACTGACAAGCAGGGAAATATTTCAGGTTTTTAGCCAGGGGATGAGTCTTCTGATTTCCTTAAAGAACACATAGACTATTTTAATATTTATGCACATCTATATTAGACAAAGGTTAATCTATAGCAGAAGCAAGTTTTTCACATACTTATCATTTTCTTCTGAAATCTTTGACCAGTGATTTTCATTTTTACTGTAGAGTGGTATCTTGATGTATAGGCTTCCTGTTCTAAAAAAGAAACAAAGTTCATACTGTGTGGAGGATCAAAGTTCACAAAGTTGTGTCTTGCAGAGATGGTATTAATTATGCTGTTGAATTAATAGTATTCCAGGGAGCAACACAGATGGCTGAATATTGTATATCATGCTTGAATAACCAATAAACTCACTGGTTTTAAGTGAACTGATGATGCGAATATTGATGTATTATGAACTGGATCCATATATCATAATTAGGCTTGGCTTGTATGACATTTATGATTAATTAGATTCACACAACTGGTGGAGGTGTGATAATTGGGTTCGTTTATTATTATATTTTTATTCCTGAATTTATTTATTTTATAAGTAACTCAAGGCAACAACAACAACACACATAATTCTACTTGTATTTTCTCCACAACAATTACCCTGTGAGATGAGTTGGGCTAAGAAAGAATGACTGGCCCAAAATCACCTTCTGCTTTCATGCCTAAGTCAGGACTTGAACTCACAGCCGCCTGGTTTCTAGTCTAATACCTTAACCATGTCAAACTCAAGACCTGTGAGCCAGATCCAGCCCATGATGTGGTTAGATCTGGCCCATGGGGGTGTCCTGGAAACAATCTGGCCCATGGGGGTGTCCTGGCAAAGGTCCGGCCCCTGCTGCCTCGGCCCCTTCATATCATGCCTCACTTCAGCCAGCCTCACAGAAACGATCGCAGTGTATAGTTAATTGGGAAGTGGGATAGTTAATTAGGAATTGGGAGCTGTCCCCTTAAGGGAATGCCTCATGGTAAATGTAGTTAATGCATCTTGGGAAATGTAGTTCATGTCATGTGGTCACATCTGTAACCCTGATTAATCACTGAATTGACCCTTGGTTGAGTTGTGGGAGGTTCCTTCTCTCTTGCCTGGACCCCAGCAGCGTGCTGCTACCTCACCCCCTTGCTCCTTCATTATGGGATGAAAGATTCTTTTACTGTTCTGTCTTTTATAATTACTGGCTGAATGTATAAAGACAGACAGGCAACCTCTACAAAATCTTCCATACAAAGCTTCTTTATTGGTCACAAGGCGTCCTCAAATATAACTCACGGCTATGTCGAGATTCATCTTATGTCCAATTCTTTTACACTGAAGTCAGCTATGCAGGACAAGGCCAATAAGATACAGCTGCTGCCAGGTACCACCAGCCTCCATGCTGGAGGAGGCATCTTTGAGATGTCAAAATAAATGAAGATGGTGGTTACAACCATGAAATCATAGCCCACCCCCTCTAATTGTTCACAAGTTAAATGGAACCATGGGTTTGATTGCAAAGCCACCTGGTCTACATTGACTGACATTGAAATCCATACAAAATATTCATATGGAAGGTGTCATTTTTTAGAAGATGCGTCTTTCACTGGATATGAATTCAGAAAGTGTGCTGAGCCATAAATCATGATTCAAATCTTGACATTTTTACACCTAAACCTCACCCCTGCCAATAGATTCTGGTTCTGGTTTACATCCCTATTGATAAGATGGCTTTCCATGGATTCTACTGCAGCAGAGAAAGCCAGGGAGAATGCAAATCACATGGCTGTATTATTTAAATTATTAAAAGGACTAATTGTTTTAGATTTTATTTCATCAAATTAATGAAAACTGGGAGAGAAGAATGCACAATGACATGGCAACCTGAATGGAAGAATGCAGGTATTTAGTATTACTTGTCTTCTAAAATAATTCTTTTATTGCTTTGCATGAAAACACTGCTTGGAGAAATATAATGACTGTTGAGAAAGGAAAAACTACACATATAAAATGGTTTTAATGATTTTTAAATGGTGATTATAAAACTCAAGCATGACCATAAGATGGGCCCTATTTCTAAATATGTTTGACCTATGAATTATTTTGATAGAATAGAATAGAAGATAGATAGATAGACAGATAGATAGATAGATAGATAGATAGATAGATAGATAATAAAGCAATATAATTTTGAATTTGATATATTATAAAAAGATAGAGAAAAGTGAAAAGAAAGTGAAAAAGGAAATAAAGCAAGGGAGGGGAGGAGAGGAGAGTGCTTCTAACCTTCTTAGAACAGTATCCGTGCATTTACTGTATATTTAACCCTCTCTCTCTCTCTACATCATAATGTCCTTCTTTCATTCACTACCTTTTCTAATAATCAAAATCCATAAATCACCAGTAGCCGAAATTCAACAAATCAGGAAGGAACTGATTTGGGTAAGGCTGGTGAATCTGATCATAGACAAGTATTTCTTCTCAAGTTTTTTCTTCTTTTTCTAGAGACAATTGCCAGAGAAGATTTGTTAAAAGGGATAAAACCCTAAAATGTTGATGGACTGGGTACTTATGCAAGAGCAACCTGAGGCTATACTTCCAGTGTCTTGCTAAATGGAGCAAGATTGATGGCCACTTGGGCAAAGGCCTTTGTAGTAGTGACATTTTATTAATGGATAATCACACTAAATGACTGCTTCAGTGTTGAATTATGGTTTTCTGATATTAGAATATCATTCAGGATTTTAGTATACTATGGAAAAATTACAAATATACTTTTGTTTTTGTTATTTTCTTTGATACTATAATAAATAATTGTAATAATGTTTACTATTCATTATTGCTCTTTTGAGCAGATTTGGACCCCACTAGGAAATTATAGTTGCTGAAATATTTAGAAATGGCGTCGATGAACGTGTGGCGGGGGCTCTAATCATAGAATCATAGAGCTGGAAAGGATCTTGGAGGTCTTCAATATCCTGCTCAAGGCAGGAGCTTTTTAGCATTTCAGTCAAATGGTTGTTCAGCCTATTTTTGGAAGCCTTCAATGATAGAACACCTGCAACCTCAGGAGACAAGCTATTCTATTGATTGTTCTCACTATCAGAAAATTCTTCCTTACTTCTAAGTTGAATCTTTCCTCTTTAACAAGCGTCTGCACATTATTTCTTGTCCTGCTCTCTGGTGCCTTAGATCAGTGGCCCCCAACCTTTTTTGTGCCACGGCCCGGTACCGGCATCACAAAATGATCCATGGCCCGGTACCAGCATCAGCACGCATGGCAAGGCGAGCCGAGCAACCGGCCAGCCAGCCGTCCCCTGCTTCTCCCCACCACCTTCAACTCCTCCTTTGTACCTGTGTCAATGGGCTTCGGGATGGCTTCGGAACGGTCGCTCGGCTCGCCTTGCCTTGGGTGCTGAAAGAATCCTCGCGCCTTAGTTTTGTTCGAAGCCGCCTCCCCGCTTCGATGATACTAAGGTGTGAGGATTCCTTCAGGACCCAAACGCAGCTTTCCAACCGGAAAAGCTCACCGGAAGCACTTTCTCATCAAAACAAGATGGCGGTGCCCAGCAAACCGGCGGCCCGGTAGAAAAATGTTCCACGGACCGGTACCGGTCCGGAGCCCAGTGGTTGGGGACCCCTGCCTTAGATAATACATCAATCCCCTTTT